CCCCCACACACACACTTGACTTACAAAATAAATAGTGAACAGCTACAAGTGGATGATGCACTAGCATAAAAAAAAAACATGTTAAAAAGGCTGCTAATTGAATTCTGGTAATGCTGCAAGCTAGTGCAGCTTGAGACAGAGGAAAAACACCCACTAGTACATCCACACGTGCCGAAAACAATACCTTTCCTGATGCATATGTCTCTACGTTATTTCTCTGTTAATGCACACTGTTTCTACTGGAAACAGCTATTTTTATTTCATATTCTAAAAATATATGTTAAAGTCACTTAGTTACAATCAACATTTTTGCTTCCCAGCCACAAAATTAACTTACTAAATCACAGTCGCTCTCTGGTTGTGCATGTGAAGTCAGCAGCATTAAAACAGCACAGCAAAACCAGCCATTAAATACTGGGAAACAGATAACAAAGGAGTGAGGTATTTGTACCCTGTAACTTCAGAGGCTGGAAGATGCCCAGGAGGTCTCACAGGGCTGCCTGGATGGTCAGCAGAGAAAATAATCCTCCATAGAAAGCAACCTGCTGTCCCTGCTGTAGTGCCTCTAGTGCGTCTCCCTCCACAGACTACAGAAGTTACAAGGGAAAATGACCACCACCTTGCAGTATCTAAATTAGGGGCCAACCTGAGACAGATCCTTCAGACTGGCATGACGCCAGAAGACATGTCAGATCACCTGTGAGAAGAACCACCAAACAAGGACAAAATGGGAGGTCCTCCTTTTGATGATTTCCAAGGTATGATACTCCAGGGACCAGGCAAGGCTTGTGGCTCTTTGCATAACACACAGGTGCAACTGGAGACCACCTCATAAATGTAAGGGCTAGCAAAGACAGACCCACAACTACAACATGGCAAAAGAAAACAGCAGGAGAGGGACAGAAGCCATCGCCACCATCTTGCTCACTTCAGAAGCAATGAAAATTCTCAGAAGCATGACAAATAAGGAAAACCTCAACCGACAACTACCCCTTCCCGTCTGCCCTGCAGGAAAATTCCCTCCTGATCCCAATGCTGCTGGTGAGCTTAACGCCAAGGACACAAGCAGAGCTCAGCACCAGGCTACTACCATGCCAGAATTTTGCTGCTAAAACATTTTCAGAAAGAAAACGGAGAAAAAAATTCTTATAAACCCTTGTAGGTAACATCTCAGGATCACAGATTTCTTTAAGTAGGTTGACATGGAGGATATTTAGCAAGTCAGTTAAATAATCCTCAGTGAGACAGTGAGGAGTTGGCTTTCACTGGAAAGAATCTCAAGAACAGTTCAGTTCTGCAGCCTGCCACTGGCAGTGGTCCAGGAGTAATGTGCCTTTTTATGTGAGCAGAAGTTCTTCATCAACCATAAATATCTTCCAGATTTTACCAGTCAGATTGCACACCTGATCTGACCCTTTCCATGCCGTGTCTTCACCCACCACTGCTATACAAACTAAGCCACAGTAAATGCTTATAAAAATGTGTGGCTATTTTGAAGCTTTCACCATCTCCAGGCAATCCTTTAGTGAGGGTCTAAGAATTGTCACTGGAGGGAGCAGAATTATTTAAAACTATGTTTTAAAGTATAAGTACCACACAAAGGACTTGTCACATCCATGATTAAAATGCAGACAGTTTAAGATCTATGAATGAAATGCAGTGTGAGAGCAAAGTATTCTTTGCGATAATACATCTTACCATGGG